TAGTTTACAAGACATGGGTATGAAGAAAAGCGTTTAGCATGAGATTTTATTTAAAATTCCATATGAGCACCACATTTCGTTACCAGTCTCCAGAGCCGCTCAGAAATCGCGTCACCTGATTTCAGTAGGAACTCTTGTAGTATGGAAGACGTAACTTCTTGTATTCACCTTGCAAGTTCTTCCAAGGTCTTGATTTGGTGTAGTAGTCTTGTTCCTTTAAGCAAGCTCAAAGAAAAAATTTCAGTGTGTTACGTCAGAACTCCTTGTTCAGCGCTCATACATAAAATATTGTTTCAAGGATAAAGCGTCTATTTCAAATACGAAGTGCCCTCTGTAATAACGTTTGAAGTAATAAAAACGTCGAATTATATATATATATATATATATATATATATATGATAATTTTGAAAAAAATTTGTGATACGTTTCATCTGTTATGACTTCATCGGACTGGGTTTGTTTATGTTGCTTTATTAAGTCGTAATGGATAAAAAGCTTCACAAGAACTTTTCCCAGCTTGGCATCCATCCAAATCTATGTATCGTTATCTCATCATACTCTCCAGAGCTGGGATCAAATATGGAGAGTATGATGAGATAAATTTGTGACATTCCGAATTTAAGGAGAGATGACGCGTCTACCCGAAGTTTCAAGAAATTAACAGATTCAAAGCCTACCTAAAAATATATCGGAAAAACATCACGTGATCTAAAAGCTCGTATGTACGAATACAAAAACGATTTACGTTTAGACACCCATTCAAACTTTCTCGTACTACAAAGGAACAAAACTGGATATACTTTTGATTTTACTAATGCCACCCTAATAAAAAAAAATAGCATAATCCTTTACGGAGAAATTACTTGGCGAGCCTAATAATAATAATATTACCAACTATAAACACACGTTAAAAACATTATAGTACATCGCCAGTGTTTATTGAATCCATTATTAAAGAAGCTAACATATGTTTATCTAAAACAAATGATATGTACGTAAAACCTTCCCAAATGAACATGTGAAAAACCAACAAATATAAAAGTTATATTATATAAAGTTATAGTGGCATTCCTCCTCCCAACGCTCGCCCGGGCCAATTCTCTCTTCTCTCTTCAAGAATTTTTTCCCGTCTGTCTTTTTCAGCATATTTGTATAGATAAACCCGGCCGGTTATAACTGACCCTCGGCCCTACTACTTCGCATACGATTATCACAGGGTTCTGGCTGCTTCAACCAAAATCATGTGAATTCCAAAGTTCCTTCTAGCTTACTCAGCTCTATTTCAAATTTTAATCAATAAAAATTATTTTGACCATTTCCATTGTCTACTGATGACCCAGATTCAATGGGTACAACTTCTGCCCTAGATCAGATTTCCCCATCAGTAAAAAAAAAAAATGCTCTGATTTAATTTAGCTATTCAAATCTACTCCAATTTCACTAAAAATTATATACGTATATGTGTGTGTTTGTGTGTGTTTCCCATACTCTCTCTGTCACACAACTTGAACCCTCAAAATGAAAAATTACCAAAAATCACGGAGTTATTCACATTTCCTAAGTACGGATGGTATTCGAGGTACTTACAAGGATTGTTTTACAATTAACAAAAAAAAGAAGCGTCTATTTTTGGCTTGTTTATCGGTGTGAGCGCGAACATAAACCCTACACTTAGAAATAACGCACACGAGTCGTTTATATTTGGGTCGATCGCAAAGCTCTACCCAACCGTTGTGCAATGGAAGGAGCTCACTCTAAGAGAATTTGGTGCAAATTTTAATATATATATATATATATTGGGGTGAATTAAACAGAAATTATCCCCAGATTGGATACTATGCTTGTTTTAATTTACACTACTACATAATTACTCTTTCTTTCGTTATGTAATCGCTGATATTAGTTACTACAGATTTAGTGTCGGTAATTACGGACAATCAGCATTATCGGATCGATATTTCCGCCATTTTATCCGCTAAAACGAGGTATGAGTATATATGTAAATACACATATGTATAACTATTTAAATAGAGAATTTTTTTTTTTGCAAGCATCTCATTTTCACGTTATCTACAATTGTTGCAATTGTTTAGAGGTCAATCTTTTAAACCTTGATGAAATTTTGCGCACCCATTCGCCAGTTCACTGGCGTACTTAACAAAAATGTCTGCGACTTCAATGAGTTATAAATATGCATATTGCCAAGAAAGCCGAGGCATCGTCTCTGGATACATTTCGCCTTTGGTTGTGTCAAAAAAAAAAATCCAACAAATATGTGTTGTATGCACTTAGAATGTACCTCATTTTTGCTAAGAAAACATCAGACGTCTGCGGAGGTCGCCTATTCCTCCGTGTTATTTCCATCGGAAGTCTTCTTAGAGAAAAGCAAAAAAAAAAAAAATACAAAACCAGGAAAATTACAAAAAAAATATCTGAAAAAAACCCCAAAAAAACTTAGAATTCTCCTTTCCCATCGGTTGGAAAATAGGAAAAAAATTAAGAAAACTAAACTAGAAAACGAAACATAAAACATAAAATTGAAAAGAATATGTGTTCATGTACAACCTCACCGACACATTGGAATTTATATATATATATATATATATATATATATATATATATATATATATATATATATATATATATGGGTGTATATGCATATTTTTCTAATTTTTACACGCACACACATTTATTCACATATCTACATCTCTGGCCACCTCTCTCTCTCTCTCTCTCTCTCTCTCACACACACACACACACACACACACACGAACACGCACACAGGTACACGAGGTACGTCACAAAGTTTTGTGGATTATAACCATGAATATACTTACTCTAACACCTACTTTCCACCCTCTCCTTCGAAATAGTCTCTTGCTCGCTGAAAGCCCACTATACCCAGAGGTTAACAGCAAAAGTCATCTACGTTCAGTTGCTGTACTTAATGTTTAAGTTTCCGAATATTTGTGTGTATTGGTGTGCGCGTGTGTGTGTGTGAGTGTGAAAAGTTTAATAAAAAAGATACAGATTTACACACAGATATAAATCTTAAAAAATGAAAATAAAAACAGTTATATGTATGAATTATTATACGCGTGATTATCAAAGTTGGGTTTGTGTATGTCTAAGACATATTGGCAGAAAATGTTGTCACGTATTTCCATCTGGAGAGAAAAATACGATGACGACATAAGTTGCCTGTCATGGCCGACAATGAGGATATTTAAATCATTTGCTGCTTATTAAACTATCTAAAATGAAATTATGGAAAAAAAAAAAGAGACAAACGCTTAAAGCCCAATAATATTGTAGCACACTGCCAAGAAGAATAAAGATTGTGTAGTGTATTTTGTTTACTAACGTTCACTAACACAAGGCTCAACATCCACTCAAGATAGAGGTTTACGGAATGAGATGTATGATTCCTAATGCAACATTATGAATGTTACCCGCCAGTTGATGATAGTCTGACATTATACTGATTGAAATCTTCAATTAACAAAACGATATCCATATGGATAACAATTTATAGAAAAAATTTAAAAATATATATCAGATTAAAAAGCTTTATGTAGTATTATTTAATAAGCTTAACTTGGTACAAGTATAACGCGGTCGGGCCGACTCGATCCGGGATCGTTCTCACGCTGGTCAGAACTGGCACCAGTCAACTGATGGCCGCTTCGTTTCTTCATCTGCTCTGTCCCACGTTGTGACTGATTGATCACAGTGTAATGAAGATTGAATTTTCGTCCGCACTTAAGCGCTGAATCGAGTTGGCGGAACCGTGCCATAAAACCCAAAGAACAACGATACCTCCCCTGGAACCTAGTGACAAGGAATCTTCTGTTTTACTAAGCCATTCACAAGAGGGACATCGCGTTATCAAATCTTCACGTCAGTCATTCTCTTGTCCGGCTCGACGTCAGTAATACTCTTCTCGGCAATTCTCTTCGACAGCAGGACATTGACTTCTTCCGGCCTCTCCGGTCCATCGCCGGGCTCGAACACTTCTCGCTCAACTGCAACTGCTCCAACTCTTCGCTCCAAAATCTCTCACGTGTCATACGGTTTATATGCACCTTGCATAACTCTGACAACGTATTCAGATTCGTTAGCATTTATTTTCCTCGACTTTATATCGCAATGTTTTCATTTCAGTAATTTCTACATTGTATCCCTTCTTAAGCTTCAATTCTATCCGGGATTAACACATAAAACCTTTATTTAATTTGATGTCACATTCCTTCCAACTACTATCAGTGACACTTAGTGTCATGTAAGGTCACAACATATGGCACCAAACAGTGAGAATTGGACTCACTACAAAGTAAACGCCTGTTAAGCCAACTTGTTACAGATTACACTATAGGATAACGACACAGAATGTCATCTAGGAAGTAAGAACTGAAGACTATGAGGATATGGAGGATGTATAAAGATTGGCTCTTGACTGAAGAGGTTAATATTGTAGCGTTCGGGGAAATATCCACGCAATGTTCTACAAATCAGCGTTTCTTTGTGAAAAGCTGAGTCGCACTTCTTCCTTACAGTTGGAATATGGAGGGAATGGCGGGGGTTCAACTCCGTGGGTGTAATATGGCGGTCTAAGTTGCAAAGGCCTGAAATGGAGGAACTAACGAATGGAGCCCGTACGAACATTTGCCATGGAAATAGCTACAAAGTCGCGATAAACTTGCAATATAACATAGACTCTCAGAGTCGCTGTGGTTGGAGACTAGTAAAACTAGTAAGACTGGAAACTGTTAGGTTAATGTTCCCGATACGTCTAAAGGAGAAATAAGAAAGATTTTAAAACAATTTAAATATATGACTCACTAACAATCTGTTCTCAAACATCATACGCACATTCTATATAATAAATTCCCGAATAACGTTGATATGAATCTTATCAATGTCAAAATTGGGTTCAGCAATTCAGATTCATTTATACAGAAAAATAATTTGAACATTCCTGAACCCAAATTCATGAGAACTTACGACAATATCACGCTGAATGACCGGTTTCCTGTACGATCACCGAAGTTAAGCAATGTTGATCTTGGTCAATAGCTAGATGGGTGACCGTTTGGGAATACCAGGTGCTGTAAGCTTGGATGCGCCGGTGGTGTAATGGATAATGGCTCGGAATTGTTAATTGGAGAGCCAAGTTCCAATTACCGTTGGGTTTGTCATAATTATTTACGGCAAAATAAAAGGTATGAATCAACCCCTTCTTCTCCCAGTTAATTAGTAAGACTACACCATTGTTATCTAAAAAAAGAAATGAATTCTTACAATCTAAAAATATTTAATGGCTTTAAATAACCTGGAATGGATTGATCAGTCTTAAAAACGAATCAATGAAAAAACCAAATTCATAAGATTTTCACCGCAATGAGCAGCATTTTATTTTGGACATCAATGTCAAGTAATGATTACTTGACTAGTTATGTTGACTATTACGATTCAGCATTGACTCTCACTGGAAGCCCCATACTAATGGCTTTGTACCAACTAAGATAAAATGAGTAAATAACAACAGTACTATATATGTGATATAATCTGGAACTATATATATACATACGCATACACATACATATATAATATAGAAGTATATATACATACACACATGGATAGACACATATATATATGAGATAATATGGGGCTATATATATATACATACGCAGTAGGATCTATACAATTTTTCTAACCCTATGTTCCTGTGTCATAAATTGATGAACCTCTGCTCAAAAGTAATGAAAAAGTCGTTAAATTATTTTAGTCACCCTGAACCGGAAATTCGATTTAACCATATATGCAATATGGGTAAAAAAAAATCTCTATATTTCAGAATCTTTATTTTTCAAATTGTTAATAATGCTATTGGATAATACTGAATTAAACCCTTCTTCATTATTTTTTTAAGAAAAGTTCATCGAATTATGACATTGGAAATCAATTATTTTACGAAAAGCCATAACGTTAATAGACGCACACTCACATATATAGCTATATCATACGTATAGACAGTGTGGATACAGGAATCGACACTGCATACTAATTGTCAGTTTCATGATCTTCAGGTTTAAAGATCGCATTGAAGTGCGAAACTGACCGTCCCCATGTGTTGTTGATTCTTATGTCCCTAGTCTTTATCTATAAACTCTCTATCTCCGCTGTTTATCACTCTTTCCCTTTAACACATTTTAAACAATATATATATATATATATCAATGTTGTATCCTTAATTTTTATTGATATGTTTCGCAAACATTGGTTTAACTGGAGCATTATAATAAAATACTTTAAAATACGAGAGCCAATTCTTTGAAATTAACTAAAAAAGTCTTCAAAAGATGTGAGTTAATTTTTATTTAATCTCTGCATTTTTTTTTTTTTTTTTTTGCATTTCTCGTCTGACTCAGCAAAAACAGACGCTGATCGAACCCGTCGCAGCCATAAACAAAAGAAATGGAAACGCAAGAAGAGGCCCAACAAGAAACGGAAGCGGCGAAAGCGGAAGCGAGCCAGTAAGTAACTTTCTATTTTTACATTTTCTCTGACGCACTTCATGTTTCTCATGGTCTAGTTGCTGGCTACAATGTCTTCAATGTATGAATGTACAGAAAAACCATTTCAAAATTATATATCAGTCCAAGTGTTTCTTGTTATATTTTTTTAAACTTTCTATGAAGTACTGAAAAAATATCACCCCGACACATTTGAACAAGTATCAGTTTTTTGTGGGGAAGGAAGTATTTCTTGGTTCGGGCTAGAAAGGAACACTTGAAAAAGGATCCAAATCATTCTTTGTTAAATGACCTTGACGAATTTGCTTCTCTGCACGAGAAATTACAATTCATCTTTCGTATCATTACTTCATGTCGTAGCCATTCGACAAGCAAAAATGCACCTGGTATAATTTTGTTTAGAGTCACTTCCCACTTCGCCACTTGTCGGCTCTCAACTTCACTCGACAAAAGATCAAGTGACATTTTCCAGATCACGTGTTGGAAAGTGAGTAGGATCAGAAAGGGAAGAAAAATCGGCTGATGAATGATTGATTTTTTTTGCATCCTACCAAATGTCCATCATCGATCGTCGGTGGGTTGCTTAAATTTTCTAGAAGGCTAGAAAAAAACTGGAGAGGTTGGCGATCGGATCCCTACAGAGGAACAAAAACATCATCATACTACCGGCTGACAAAGGCAATGCGACTCTAGTGATCGACAAGTCAGATTATTCAAGAAAGCTGGAAGACCTCATTAGCAATGGTAGCTACAGCAACAAAAAAAGGATCCTACAATGAAAAGGGAATGCAAACTGGCACAGATACTAATCAAGAACAAGGATCACTTTGCCCCTAAGATGTATAGGCAGTTATCGCAGCGTTACACCAAGCTACCTCACATATACGGTCTCCCTAAGATTCACAAAGACGGTATTCCACTCAGACCGATTGTTAGTTGCCAAGGCTCTATGTGCCGCCCTCTGAGTCGCTTCCTTGTAGATATAATTGACCCATTGATCGGAAAGTCTCCTTCATATGTCCGAAACTCCGCCCACTTCGTGGAAATAATCAAAGATGCTCCGATCCTATCCAACCAGATGGTGAGCTTGGAAGTCGTGAGTTTGTTCACCAAGATACCCGCGGAGGAGGCACTCTCAGTAGTCAGAGACAGATTGGCCTCTGGCTCATCTCTAGAAAAACGGACCAGTATTCAAATAGATAATCTGATGGAGATGTTGACTTTCTGTACACAAACAACACACTTTGAAATGAGATCACACATATATCGACAGGAGGAGGGCTTAGCAATGGGCTCGCCATTATCACCAGCAATGGCGAATATATACATGGAATACTTTGAGGAAATGGCATTAGAATCTATATCTCTAAAGCCAACTATATGGTTAAGGTACGTAGACGACACCTTCATACTCTGGCCACACCAGGAAGATGTCCAGGTTCTACTGGACCATGTGAACTCAATAAGACCTTCGATACAGTTCACAATGGAGAAAGAGAGTAACAACACACTCCCATTCCTGGATGTTCTAATATCTCGAACAGAGCATGGGTTTAAGACATCCGTATACCGTAAACCGACATTCACCGGACAGTACCTCAATTTCAACTCCCACCAACCATATAGCGTAAAGAAAGGGATCGTCCGTTGCTTACAACACCGAGCAAAAGTCATAAGTGGCGACCCAGAGACGTTAGATAAAGAATTGGTCAGTATAAGCAGTACCCTACAACGTAACAACTACACTGGGTACGTAGCAGCAGCCCCAATAAACTGGGATAGGCGGGTGCAAGAGGAGGACAACAACACTCAGAAAACAGTCTGCCTGCCTTATGTGAAGGGGGTTATCAAAGAAAATACAAAGGATCTGCGGTCCATATAAAATCAGGACAACCTTCAAAAGCTTGACGACACTTCGCAGATATCTCTCCCGAGTAAGACCCACCCGCCATAGAGGAGAACATGACTAAAGACTGCGTGTACGCTATCCCATGCAGCTGCGGAAAGGAATATAAAGGGCTGATGAGCCGCCCCCTTAAGGTAAGGCTTCAAGAACACCAGAAAGCTGTAACACGAGGAAAAAATCAGGTGTGGCTGACCACATATGGAGAGAGAAGGGAGATAACCGCCCTCTGTGGGATCAGGTTGAGATCATAGACAAAGAACACCATTGGAAAATTCGTAAACTTAAGGAATCAGCACATATGCTAGGCCACAAAAATCTCCAGAGCCGACCAAGCATAGAAATGAATACAATATGGGAACCAGTAATAAGGAGTGCCAGAGAAAAGCAATAATAACAATGAATGTAAAAAAAAAATAAAAAAAAATATGATATGATAACAGCAAAAATAACTTTACTGTACAATTTATGCATTAACAGATAGAGAAGAATAAGGCATTACATGCAGTCCATTGTATTAAGAGCAATCGTGTGTCTTCATTAGAATCTGCTAATAATTGGTTCTGCATCCAATTCATCTAAGAATTCTTTTTTAATGGATAACGTGATTCCAAATTCTCGAAAAGCGAATTTATTAACGTTGTCGTTGTGATTTTTAGGTTTGAAAATGAAAATCTCACATTGGAATTGAGTAACTGACAATGTGCAGATGATTTATAAAATTCCTATCCTTTTTGATTACTGAAACAGTTACCTACGTTTGTCTGCATTTATTGAATTTTTATTTAATATTGGGGTCCACTCCATCGGTTAAGCTGGCATCCTGATCAGTCCGCTACTATATATATATATATATATATATATATATATATATATATATATATATATATATAAAATTATAGTTTTAAGATAAGCTACATTTATGAGTCAATATCAGGAATAGATTGTATGTAAATATAAAAGTAGACATTGAGGTCAACACCCAGCGGCGACACCCTATTTCATGCTTAAACACAATCGTCAGGCCTGAATAGCCTGACGCATACGTTGTCTACTTATATATATATATACATATATATATATATATATATGTGTGTGTGTGTGTGTGTGTGTGTGTGTGTGTGTGTGTGTGTGTGTGTGTGTGTGTGAAATTGAGAAAATCAACAAATGCAGAAAGACTTAGCTTTAAATTAAAATTAGTTTGGTATTCAATGTATCTAAATACATTACCTAGCCGTTCAGATTTCCATTGCTTTTGTGTGTGTGTGTGTGTGTGTGTGTGTGTGTGTGTGTTTTTATTGCTATTGCTTTTTTTGTTTTGTTATTGTATTTTTTTTATTTTTTTTGTTTTTTGCTTATCGCTATTGTTTTTAAATATCCCATATTATATAGCATTTGTTTCGTTAGAAAATGAGATATGTTTCTTGATCCTGGGCGTAAAGACGTGTTTTTCACTTTTTCGCCCATTTGGCAAACATATCGTGTCTGTTTTCCTGAAAGACTTGGACTCTAAAGCCAGAATAAAATTTTCCGTTTGAAATAAGTGATATCTTCTATATAACAAGAAATGGTATTTATTTTGAATAGGATTTCCCTTATAGTTAGATTTGGTTACGCTCACCAGTTGTCAGGAGATTAGTAAAAGTTAATGATTAAGCAATTTCCCTCTGATAAAA